AAAAGATATCATAAATTTGAGAGTGGACACTAGAGGGGTTGGACAGGAGTGACTGAGGGGTGTAGTTGATACAGTACCCATGTGAATTTCTCAAAGAAGTTTCAAAATTAGCAATCTTCCAAGATGAATCAGTACTAGACGTTGCTAGTTCTAGGGCAAAAGAAACAGAGATGATCTTGAGAAGCAGATGAGAAGGACACTTAAGATGCTCTAAGATGAAGGCTTATAAGACTCAAGATGGCAGAATGAAGCATGCCCCATGTAGCCAACCTCAGGCTTCAAGGTGTGAAAGTTCCCAAGAGGCTGAATGCTTGTTCTCAAATGTGTGAGGCACTTTATCACACAGGAAAAATATTGTCCTGACCTAGGTGCTCTTATATTGACCTCAAAATTCTGAACTCAAGACTTGGAAAATATCAAAGAAAATAACTGGAGAATCAAGATGGTGGTGGCATGGTGATGTGTGCCAGAACTGGGTGGTGGTGGCAGTGGTTACTCTCAGCCTGACCATGGAGGAAAATGTGAAAATAGCAGACACCAAAAAGCCAACTGGATCTGTGACTGTGAAATAGAAAACTCTTAAGAGTGAAAGGTGGTTTTCTCCAATACTGATGACCTTATATGAAAAATTCAAGCCATCAAATAACCATTGCCTGTTTTGCTACACAGAAGCCAAAACATTCCTTTTTAAACACCAGTATAATCATGTGGACAGAGCTATGGGTACAGAAAAATAGTAGGAACCAGCCTAATTGAAATTATGACCCCTCCCATGAACCTGGAACTGTGATTACCACCCATGAGCTGGAGCTGTGGTTCCCTCCTGTTCGGCTGGTTTGTGGTCTCCTCCTGTGACCCAGAGCTATGGTCTTTCCTGTGAACCTGGAACTGTGGTCCCCTCTCATAAGCTGGAGCTGTGGACCCCTCCTGTGATCTTGTAGCTATGGTGCCAAACTGTGAGCCAAGGTTCCACACTCCCTTGGTGGTGGGCTGATGGTGGAGCAGAGTGGAGGATGGAAGTCTTCACAATGTTGGGCAGAAGTTTCATCCTTCACTGAATGGCTGCATTCCCCACAGCTCCTCCACTGAGATCTCATTTTGTGCATGAAAGTGACTTTGCCAGTGTTTGGGGCTTATTTTGGGGACAGGTGATGTTTCTTCAATTTGCAGAGTCTAGTCTTGGGAGAAATGTGTCTCAAGAATGGTCTGGACTCCAGACTTGTTCCTAGGCACCCAGGCATTGACACTGGATCTTTCCCATTCCCAGGCACCAAGAGGTTTCCCATTATTTTTCTATTACTCTTCTCTAGCCTCAGTGGACTTTCACCTATGCCCTACAGAATATGTAAATTACCTACTTGTACTTCTAGAGATAAAAATCACAGTCTGGTAATTAAAAATAGGGGGTGGAGGGTAGGGTTTTGGGTATTTATTCCTAGAAACTGCAAGTTCTATTTAATAAACCATGGCAGGGACACAACAGACTGTGAAATCACTTTTGATGAAAAGGAAGGTGCTGTTTTGTCTCTTACTTTGCATAATGGGCCCTTCTGAGCAGACCTTGGGATCAGCTGCCTTTCACCACTCTCAACCACTCTCCACATTTCCAGTGTTCAGCATGTACTTAGAACCAGAGTCACATCCACAAGTCCCTGAATAAGATGCCAGAAACCACAGCCCAAAGAGTCATTGCCCTCCCATATGCACAGTTCCTGCTTGTCCACCCTTGGGTGTGCAGCTTGGTTCCCTCACATGGATGACCTTCCTCTTTTTTTCTTGAATACAACTTTTTTCTAAAAGGTGCCTCTTTTTGCCACATTTGGTTTTAATATCTTCAGCAGGTATCTTGACTTTAAATCTCTGCTTCACCTTCACTGTTGCTCCTTGCTTCTCAGGCTGAGAGGGTCTCACAATTGGTTTTAGCAAGAAAAGCCTAGTTAAAACACATCCCATGTGGCTCAGATCTTTAGCATCCAAGGCTTCCTGCCTGACTGTGGAAACATATTGCTTGAGTCTCTTTGTATCACATGGGGAAATCTAATGAAAGGCTTTTTAGTCATGAAAGAGGAGGTGCAGATTGCTTTCATGAGTGTTAACCTTTAAGCATACATGATACTGAATAAAATATGTAAAGGCACTAAAATATCACCACGAGAGTAACAAAAGGCAATAAAGTACCTTATGGACTATGGGTACAGCTCAGTAGGTAAAAGTGGTTGGATGTACTATTGACAACCTGAGTTTATTGGGATTACCATAAAGCACGTATGTAGTACTGACCTTTACAATATGGAAATACTCTGGGTTTTTTGTTTGTTTGTTTGTTTGTTTGTTTGTATTTTGACAAGGTTTCCCTAGTCACAGCCCACTTGGAAGTCATGATGTGAACCAGGGTGTTCTTGATCTTGCAGAGATCCACCTGCCTCTGCCTCCGAAGGACTGAGATTAATGCGCATGCCATAATGTGGAAATACTCTGGACAAATGAATTTACTTAGCCTCACAACCAGAAAGTCAGTCTCATCTTGGTCTGTTTATAAAGTGAACAATCCTCCTAGGTCTTGAATTCCTCTTGCAACCTAAATATCTTAAATTTCTCATAACCCTTTCTTGCCTTGGGGCCTGAGTAGTTGTGTGTGTGTGTGTGTGTGTGTGTGTGTGTGTGTGTGTGTGTGCATGTGTATGTATATATGTGAGTATGTGTGTGTATGTGGGCTGTGTGTGTGAGGGGTGTTGAGTATCAAAAGTACTGCAAGCAGAGATTATTCTTTGGAAGCAATTTAGATATGATTATTTCATTTATTGCAAGTAATACATGGGATGACATCTGTTTCTGGTGTGTGTGTGTGTGTGTGTGTGTATGTGTGTGTGTGTGTGTGTGTATTTGTTCTATGAATAGGGATCAGATAGGGCAAAATTATCTAATAAGTTAAGGGTCTGACTTTTACTTATTTCCTCATTTCACTCTGGATATATCGTTTCAATAAAACAGGTCAGAGAAAATCCTGAATGAATGGGTTCTTACTAGTTCAGGTCTGCTTTTATCCTTAAAATGGATAGTAAGAGTCAGGCTGTTTTTATACAGGCATAACTGTACTGCTGCAGTGGGTAGTAAACACTACACACCTAGAAACAAGATGCATTGGTGAAGTCTGTAACCCCAGAACTCTAGGGAAGTGGGTGGCGGGGACAGTAGAATATAGAAGCATATGGGCCAGCCTGTTTGCTTAGTCAGTGGTGGAGACCAAGTCTCCAGAAAAGAACAAATAATTAAAAAGTTAGAAAGGAGGCCTGGCATGGTGGCTTTTGCCTTTAACACCAGCACTTGGGAGGCAGAGGCAGACGGATCTTTGTGAGTTCGAGGCCAGCCTGGTCTACATAGTGAGTTCTAGGACAGCTTGGGCTACAGGGAGACCCTGTCTCAAAAAGACAAAAAAAAAGTTAGAAAGGCAATGGCATGCACACTCATATAGATTCACCCCCAATAAAAATACATATAGAATAAAATACAAAATTGTAAAGCTCTAATTCAAATTAGTTTTCATTAATTACACTTATTAAAATAATAAATTAGTTGAATAATATTCCAGAAATCGTGTAAAGGTATTTCATTGGTATACAACTACAAAGATAAAACAGTATTTATGTATTATTGCAGATAAATTTAAATACCTAACATATTAGACAGCATAATGATGAAATTTATTGATAAAGCATAAATTTTGGCCACAGGAACTCATAATAAGCTCTCTATAAAATTTATAGTGAAAAATGGCTGTAAAATTGAAATAAACAGGAACTTAGAATTTTTTTGCTGCCATGAACCATGAAATTATAACAACTACAAAGCAGTTACTAAAAGGCAAAAATTAAAGTGCAAAACTAAATAAAATATGGAAAAACACTTTTGTATCATGGTTGTGTTCAGTGGCTTGAAGTATCACACATCAGTAAAAATTAGGAAAATAAAACACTACTTTTTGTTTACTGAGCAAGGGTTTCCCTGTAGCCTGACACAGATTATAACTTGCAATGTACCAGGCTGGCCTTGAACACAAAGAAATCCATATTCTTCTGCCTTCCCAGGGTGCTTGGAATAAAGCATATGTCACCATGCCCAGCTTGTAAAATAAGAGTTTTATGAGAATCCTCCTACCTTTCTAGTCTTTGTGTGCAGCAAGGCATTTCTATTTCCTAGGCGATGAGAATACAAGCACTCTCTACATTTGTTATATGAAATAATAAAAAATGGGGATGTCATAGAGACCATGTGATCACTCACTGTGATGATCACATCCAATGATTTAATATTTTGTAAACTAATTTTACAAACTGGCCAGACAGTTCAAATTTTGTACTATTTGATTCAAAGGCATCATTCTTTGGAATTATCAAGAATATAACTTTAATTTTATTCCTGTCTCAAAATAAAAAAATGTAAGTAAATATAAGTAAATAACTGAAAGTTGAATACATTTCCTGTGGATTACATTGAATAATATGCAGTTTGTAGAGTGATTACACTTAGAATGTAAGAATACAAAGTAATGGTATATGGACTTTGTGTAATATATAAAATTTGTATGGGCAGACACCAAATTTAAATGGGAATTTGAAATTAAATGTTTAAATTGATCATTAAATGCTTGGTGATTGGAATTTTAAGTACATTGTGTCACCATTTATTATTGTTGTGAGATTGTACATCCACGAGATCTAAGTGTGGTGTAATTCGTGATGTGCCCACTTATGTGTATCTGTGTATGGACTGTGAGCATTTGGAATTATTAGGTCTATATTGCTAGGTTATAATTGTATTTTTTCCATTAACATGAAAGAACAAGAGTGTTTTCCATGCCTGAGTTAGAGAATTCATTGGAGAAATTTCTGTAATGACTATGGTCATAAATATGGTTTACAGAAAAGAGATGACTGATTATTGATAATAAAGCATAGTGACATCCCATTTACTAAAGAATGTCTTCTGTATAATGTTGTCCTCTATGAACAAGAAAACACTAATTTTCCTCCAGGGACTCTATCACTTGACAGTAACTTTCTTGCAGCGGTTTTCATGGACTCATTTCTCAGACTGTAGATAGCAGGGTTAAGTGTGGCAGGAAGTACTGTGTAAAACATAGAGAGCATGATGTCTAAAGCAGTTGGAGAGTCTGAGGTTGGCTTTAGATATGCAAACATACAAGTGGAGACATAAAATGAGACCACACAGAGGTGGGGCAGGCAGGTGGTAGAAGACTTTAGACCGACCTGCAGAGGGCATCCTGAGGACTGTGGAGAATATCTGGACATAGGAGAGGCAAATGGCAGTGAAGCAGGCAATTCCCACCACAGTCATGAAAACAATCACTCCAACTACTCGAAGGTAATCATTGGAGCAGGAGAGCTTGAGCAACTGGGGAACATCACAGAAGAACTGGTGGATGATTTTGGCCCTGCAGAATCTCATGGAGAATGTGGTTGCTATATACAAGGTTCCTGAGATACCCCCACTTATCCACACAGCTGTCACAGCCCACCTGCACGTTCTGGGACTCATGATGACCTCATAGTGCAGTGGGAGGCAGATGGCCACATAGCGATCACAGGACATCACTGTGAGAATGGCCACCTCACCCCAGGCAAAGGATGTGAAGAAGAAAAGCTGAAGTACACACTGAGCATAGGAAATATATCCACTTCCTGTCAGGGAATTGTGAATAGACTGGGGGACAGTGACAGACAGGGAGGAGAGGTCAAGAAGGGAAAGGTGCTTCAGGAAAAAATACATTGGAGATTGGAGCTGTGGGTCCAGTGTTGTGGTGATGATGATTATGATGATGAAATTACCTGCCATGCCCAACAGGTACATCACCAGGAAGAGCAAAGTGTTTAGGATCTGCAGCTCCCGGTTGTCAGAGAACCCCAGGAGGAGGAAGCCACTCACTGTGGTTATGTTTGTCACAATCATGTTGGGAATAGAATTTGTAGAAGCAGCTTGAAAATAAAAATGTGAAATGAAGTGCAAAGATAATACAAAACATGATTTTAATCAGCATTTCTCATTTTAACAGCTAATGGTAGAGAACTGTAAATTATCATTTGTGCACTTGATGTAAGAGTCTAATGGATGAAGCTCAGATTCTGACATATGTGGGGCTCACAGTTTTATTAGGAAACCAGTTGCTACAGGAGGAAGGGCCTAAGGTCACGTTAATGGTACTATCTCAGAAAAATTGATTACTCTTTAAAACATATTCTTTTTCCAACTGGTAAAACCCATTACTTTAAAGTCATTGGTAGGCATACAGTGCTGGGCTTTTGGTGAAAAGTTTCTGAACTCTGACTTCAGTATATTTCTCTGTGCACTGAGTTTAAGCAGCTCATATGTGACCCTGTAAAGAAAATATGACTTTCGATCTTGAATTCTCTGTGGACAGTTGACATCAGCGTCCTTTCCAGCAGGCAGCATAGGTATCACAGTTAAAAGCTGCTTTACTTTGTCCCTAGGGACTAAATGGGTTGTGTTTCTCTTTTTTTGCTACAATCATAGTCAGTGGATCTGAGAAATCAAAGCAAGAACAATGCTGACCAGGAACACACATGGGCTTATACACTCACTCATACACAGTTCTTGCACATTTAACTCAGGCTGGGTGTTAACCATCTGACATTCAGTGTCATCAGGTATACAGGAATTTCTTTTTGGCTTTTCCTTGTACTTAACTCTTATTTATATCACTTGCTCAGTCACAGCCATGGAACAGTCACTGAACACTGATTATAGGCAGTAGCAGTTGAAAGAAGAAATGAGAGAAGTATGCTAACATTGGAAGGACAGCATTCACCCCCGCAGTGTACAACCTCAGAAGTGGATGAGATTCCCAAGGATCTACCTTCCTGATAACAGAGAAGTCAGTTTTTATTTCCTGATCCACAGTTAGATCTTTGTAGGATGGGGATATCTATTCATGCTCTCTCCAAAATGCACCTTTGCATGTGAAGGCTGATCAGAGGCCAGTGCTGATGCTCACTCATGTCATTTGTGATGGCAGCAGCAGGTACACAAGGCTATCTACCCATGCTGTGATGTTTTTCTTCTCCCTGTGGAATCTCATGCTTCCTTCTGTCTAGGCGACCCATCAACTTAAAAAGATATCTGATAGAATCCTCAGCCTCAAGTCCAGATCTCCCTCATGCCTCATAAACCTGAGGTAGGCATTTTGTCCATCACATGTCGTTCTCTAATGGCAACAGCACAGCGAATTTTCCCTTCTCACTTCTCACACCTTTCTTTTTCAGACAATTCTATTGCCTATATTGTTCATTGCTAGTTTTAGAGTAAAATTCTGTATTTGGTCCAAGGGTAGTGACCGAGCTTGTAATTACAATATTCAGGTGACTCAAAAGGGAGAGAGAGAGAGAGAGAGAGAGAGAGAGAGAGAGAGAGAGAGAAGGGGAGGGGGAGAGGAGAGAGAAAAGAGAAGAATACACATCTATTCTTTGAAGTTTTTAGCTTGGACACTTGAAAATTTCTTGACTCTTATTCTGTTACTGGAGTCACATATTTATATAATCACATATTTATACTTCCATAATTTTCTCCCATCTATTGATTATCATCAAAACCTCTAACCACATCACATAATCTAAAGCTTTTCTGACAGAGTCCAAAGCTGTTCAACAACTTCTCTATCAAGGAATTATTTCTGTCCTATTTTCCATTGAAAGTATAAAACAACATGATTGTATATATTTTTTGAATATTTAATATTTTAATCTTCCATGTTTGTACAATTTACATAAAGACAGGGAAGAGAGCCACCTAGAAAAGATCTTAGATTCAGTTTTATAAGAAACATAGCATGCTAGAGTCCTATATAATGCGAATGTCCACGCACAAAGGAAGTTCAATCTTTTTTGCAGTTAAGTATTTTAATCTGTATTTACAGGAAAATATTTATTTTCTAAATGCTGAAGGGAAAATTGATCTGTTAGGTGCTTCAGAATTAATAACACTTCTCTCATGTAACTTTCATATCTGTGTATTTAAGGGTGTGCAGACATTGTGAGAGTGGCCACATCTACAGTGAAAGTATTTCATCAGAGCTTTGTCTCTGTGATTCAGAGCAGGGACTGTGGGAAGTGGGTTTTGAATATGCACACATGTAAAACATTAGTTGTTACCAACACACTGTTTTTGTTTGAATAATCACAATTTTTGACATCCTTATATGAATTAAATATACAGCCTTAGCTTTTCCATTTCATTTCAGTAAGGTGAGCTTCCTTCCTTACTAGAATCATAGTCTTACCTTTGTAAACTTAATTTGAAAAGTATAAACAACTGTCAGAATTTTCATGAAATCTCTCTTTTCTAATCCAAGAGCTGGAAACTCACCCTGAATATCTTGGTGTACAAGTTGATCTCCAGGCTGATTGGAAAGTTCTGAAAATTCCTGATCACAGTCACAGATTTTCAAAATGCATTTCATCCCTTGGGGACAGGTTTGCATCAGGATTTCTTTGGGGAAGTGAGATTGTTGCAAATGGAAGCCTGAATTTAATGACCAGAACACCCCATTTTCTTTCTGTCACCTGAGACTTGAGTCATTAGAACTCCATGTAATAGAAGAGGAAGGTGGGAAGCTTAGGGCTTTGTTGTCTCCAGCTCAGTGGTTCTCAGTTCTCATCTGACCTGAGAATCTGCTGGAGAGCAGGTGACAGCACAGGGGCTTGAGCACCACAGCCAGATTTTGACATATGAAGCCTCAGGTGACAGCAGGAAGCTCAGTGCCTGCCAGGATTCCAGGAGGTGCTAGGCTGCTCTGAGGAACAAGATGGAGAGGCACTGTGTAGCTAAGCCATGTGTTTCTGATAGGATAACAGGAAATTTAAACATTTATTAATATGACTAGTTATTTAATGCCAGACTTCAAAAAAATAGGAAGTGTTTACTGTTTTCCTTAAAATTGAGATGTGCACATTAATTTCATAATATCGTCATCTGTTAGGAAGACTCAAGACAGTGAAAGTATCACTAGGAAATCTTAAACCATAGCTGGCCTAAAGAGGACACAAATGACCCAAACATTTAACATTATTCAAAGTTACAAAGCCTTTTTCTGTACAAGTGGTAACAAGCCAACCCCACAACACTGCTTAGATAATTTCTGAATTTTCTCATTTTGTACATATATTAAAATATATTTATTATTAACCCTATGAATAGATATTTTTGCAATTTATAATTGTTACTATTTACTCTGTAGTTTCATCTGAGCTATATGATTATATACTAATTATATTTTAATATCACCTAGCAGGTCTCAAATGGGACTCAGGACTTAAAAGTGCTGGCTACTCTTGCAGAGGACTTGGTCTTGGTTGCCATCACTCACATGGTGGCTAACAACTGTGTGTAACTTCAGTTCCAGGGGATCCAACATCCACTTATAGCCTCCACAGGCATTTCACACATGTGATACAGTTACATATATGAAGACAAATCACTCATGTGTGTAAAATAAAAATAAATTAGTTAAATTAAAAATTAGTGAAAAGACTACATTAGATTTTATTCAGATTAAATGTCATGCTTACAATATCCCAGTTCATTCCAGTGTGGTTAGAACTATGGTCATCCTACCAACCCTTGGACCCTATCTTCCTTTGACTCCTGTTCTATAAAGTCATTTTCATATAAAAATAAAATGTGTGATGTTAGATAACAATCTCTCCAGATTCTACTCTTTCTCTCAGTAAATCAGGTCATGTCCTCTTGAAGCTGTTTCTTGGACAGAGAGTTGATGAAGCTTACTGTGGTCCTGCAGTCTCCTTCCCCCTGTGTAACTCCAAGACAACCTAGAGTTATAGTTTTTCTTTTAAAATGCCCTGTTAAATTCAGGCACAGTACATGCCTATAATCCCAGAACTTGGGAGGAAGAGACAGATGAAGCTCTGTGAGGTAGAGACAAGCCTGATTGACACAGCCAGTGCTAGGGCAACTGGGATTATAGGGAGACCCTGTCTCAAAAGGATCAAATAAATGAATAAGTAAATAGATAAGTAAGTAAATAATAAATAAATAAATAAATAATAGAATGCCCTGTGACTTTCAGGCATTGGGCTATGTCACATGGTTTGGAACTCACCTACCTCCTTGGAAATCTGTCGGTCAGTCCATTTGTCTCATGGACCTGAAGGCTATGCCTCTCATCACACTGTTTACAGTTTGATGGTATCATGCCCCCAGTGTTCTAGGATCTGCAGGGTGTATCTCTCCCTCAGGACTCAGCCTGCTACATTCTATGACTGTCTCTTCTGATGCTATCTGACTCAGAGCCTCATCATGGCTCCCTGTGACCATGAACCTCTAGCTCTCCTAGTAAAGCCCCCCAAGGGTTGCCCATCACATTCACCTCAGCTTTCTATGAAACAGCTTCATGTTTCCTAAGTTATAACAGTAGCGCAACTTATTTATTCATATTCTCCAAAATCACTTTTGAGTGTCAGTGGTGAAACAGGTACTTTTCCATCGTCACTTCATTACAGCAGCATGGAAAGGTGGCTCTATGCTTCCATCACTATCACATTCTCATAAACACGTGGTACAACTCTGTTGATTTATCCTTAATTATGAATAAATAATGTAATAAAATATTAGTAAGATCAGTGTTATAAACTGTATGCTCTTTGCTAATGATTTTCTCAATAAAAATAAGATTATGATAGAATTAATACTGAATTTGTGTGTTTTAAATTTTGTCAGATTCCCTTTCTAAAACTTTAATGCTGTGTTGTGCTGTTCCAGGCAGCCCTTCCTCATCTGTGGACAACCTGACGAATTGACTTTTTTGCTAACAGAAGCTCAGTCCTCATGTGTCACGATGTGGTCATTAGCCAGACTCCCCAGGTGTGGACCCTGATTCAATCATTCCTTCTTAAAGTGATGTTGAAAAGTCACTTCATCTTCTTCATGGCTGATTTCCAACTGGAAAATGAGCATATATGCTAAATAACAGATGCAAAGTGCTCAGCAGAATGAGTCAAGGATAACCAAGCATGGGGCTAGAGAGGTGACTCAGTGTGTTCTTGCAGAAGACCCAATTTCAGTTCCCAACACCCACACCAGGGAGCCCATAACTGCATCTAATTCCAGTTCCAGGAGATTCAATGCCCTTAGCTGCACCCATATGCTACCCAAACACCCTCAGGCACATACACATTAACATAAAATATAACAAAAATTGTATCTTCAAAAATCATTAGTTCCTTAAAATAAGTTTTAAATCATTGGTATTTTATTCAAAATTTTGTCATAATCTAGCAGAAAAAATAAGAACACAATAATTTTCACTTTTTATGTGGCTGGTATATATAAAAGACAAA